GAAGATGATGAAGAGATGAACCTGGAACTGAGGGACTGATAACATTTTTGGTTTTTTTTTACAATTTTTGCTATTTTTACATGAACAGCCAGAGGAGATAACATGCAAAGCTGGAGAGATCACACAAAAACAAAATTCACTTTTGGTTTTATAATTCAGTGATGGCCAATTAAAATGAAATGACAGAATTTTATTCTGTACGTGTACGAGCATGTCATCAACCATGGACCATGACTTCACTCAGCTTATGACATTTGTGTACAAACATACATTGGAGACTGAAGTCTTAGCATGTTTTCATTCTATTCATTTCATTCTATTAGCAACTTTTCATTCTATTTTCACTCTATTTTTTTTATAAATAAAACAGACTTGTGTTTCCATATATTTTGTGAATGTGTGTCTTTCATATTTGCAGGTCACTCTGTGTGGGATATTCTGTATAGATATGGCAGGCATTTGTGAAGGTTTCCATGTCACAGACAGAGGTTTGGCCTGCCTTGGATTTGAGCTAGTCTGAGTAAACAAATGCAAATGTGCCAGGCCTCACAGGTAATGGGTGTTTTTGCACAACAAAAGCAGGAGAAGAATGGAGCTGAAGGCCTGCGAAAATCTCACTAGGAGTCCTTCACACCTGGCATGTTTTACCAGAAAATAAAAATTTCAGGGTTCCCAGTGCTAGAAAAGTCACTCTATATGAGAACGAGAGGGCACTGAAAATTAGCATGTTAGAGAGAACTCAGTACGTTACCCTAACTGGGGATTATTAGACACCTGTAAGTAATGACAACTACCTTGGTGTCACTATACACTTCATTGATGAACAGTAGAATCTATTGTCATTTGCATTAACTGTGAGCAAAACTACAGAACATAAAAGTAAAATGGTGACTGTTAAGACAATAGCTGATCTGATGAGAGAGGAGTAGTTTTAAGTTTCAACTGCTATGTTTATGGAAACTAATTTAATTGTGTGTTTTGATGGGTAATACAATGGCATATCTTCTCAGTGAAGTCTGTTTATCTAGTTATAACTCAGCTTGATACTTGTTTGCAATTTTTTTTTTCACAGGTTCATTCATTAAAATGTAAAATATGATGCTCCTGGGTTTATGTTACAGAAAATGTATATATTATTCAATTGCTGTTGTGTAAGTTTACATTTGTAAATGTTATGAATTTGGTTCAAACCTGCCCTTTGTTAGTCCTTGTTATCAGTGTATTTAAGTGATGCCTTTGTGTTTTCCCCAGTCAGTGGTTGTTCATGTTACTGTATGTTTTAAGCTCTCCTTGATTTCCTAACCCTCCTGCCCATTTCGTGCAGTATCCTAGTCGTGTTACTTTGTGGCTTCTTTTGTTAATACTTACTTTTCCCTGTTTATTATTGACCCATTGTGATCTGTTTTTTTTTTTATAAAATGTTCTCGTGGATCGTCACCTTTTTTCTACCTGCACCATGTCACGCCGTGACAGTCTTCTATTTCTTCTTGTATTTTCTATTTAATTTGTGTTCTGTGTATTTCTCTTTAAGGTTGTTAAACAAAAGCAACCTATTAGTGTTGAAAGAAAGAAAATGTTATGTCATTGCTGTGTAGTTCGCCTTGCAACAACTTACATTCACATTTGGGACTGGGACCACCGGACAGGAATCAGTTTGGGGAATATACATGCAACACTCTACAGCAAATAATAATAATGTGCATTTAAAATCACAAAACTATTTAATAAAAATCGATGCAGCCGTTATATATATATATATAGCCAGTTCTTGCGGATACTGACTGTACCAACTGTATAGTAAATGTCATTCTACCATTTTCGTTTTTCCACCTTATAGCACTGATATTTATAATTTCAACCCTTTTACCAATGCGATTTGCACTTGAAGAAGGTTTGAAGTTTCAGGTTTTAATTTATTTTAGAAAAACATATTTAAGTTTCTCACATCATACATCAACTGTATCTAATACATAAAAACTGAACATTTCGTAGTATACACACACACACACATATATATATATATAAATTTGTTTTACATTGTTTTCATAAATGACTTACTTGTTGTGGTCATTTGTCCCACTGTTAAGCTGAAACATCCCAATAACAGGAAGGAATACAGCATTTTCTTTCCCTTTTGACCCTATTAATGGGACCTTCTTTACACGCCTAAAGAACGAGCTTCTATCTGGCCTGAATGAGGAAGTGTTTTGAACATTTTCTTCTTAGCAATGGGAGGAGCTCTCAAGAATGTCTCTTTGACATGTCATCCAGGACATCAAATGTATGCTTGTAATATAGACAACTAAGATAATAGCTATATACAGTGCTGTGAAAAAATATTTCCTGATGCCATCATTTTATTCTTATTCTATCACTTCATTGTTTCTGATCTCCAGACAAATATAGTACAATACAAAGGGCAACTTGAGTAAACACAATATACAGTTTGTCATGCCCTGTTCGTGCCGATCCTCCTGTGTGCCACGTCGCCCTCACTACCTTGTGTGGAATCCCCATGTTACCAGCTGTTTTGAGTCATGTTCATTGTTACTGTGTATTTAAGCCCGCGTTAAAGTATGTTTCCCCAGTCCGGTCATTAACGTCTTGATGTCGTTATGTTCTTGGTGTTCTTTATGTTCCTGATTGTATTTATCCCTAATAAATCCTTCGTTCCCTGATTCCTCGACTCCCTTCGCCTGCTTGCCTGCCCCGCATCGTGACACAGTTTTTAAATGACCATTTTATTCATTGAAGGAAAAAAAAAACACCAACACCCAAAGCACTTTCTAAAACTCACGAACTCCAGAGAACCACTGTGAAAGCCTTCATCTCCAAATGAAGAGAAAAAACTTGGAACAATCTACCTAAGAGTGGTTGGTCTAGAAGAATTACACAAATAGCACATGGAAAACTCATCAGATAAGTCACAGCAGATTCCTGCAGATTCTAAGGTTAGGCTGGCCTCTCTCAGGTCAGTTAATGTATGTGTTTCATGATTAGAAAGACACTGGACAAAAATGGCAAGGCAAAAACCACTGCTAAATAAAAGGATCACAAAGGCTCATCTGATACCTTGATTGCCACCAACACTTTTGGGAAAATGTTTTACAGTTAATTTATAGTGGAAAACTGACTTAAAACAATTCTATAGAAAAGAGTCGGCCAAATCTTTTTTCCACAGCTCTTCCTACTACTTCTCTCTCACAGTCTAATTGCTTTTGCAGTTTCTGCTTCTAAATCCATCCAACGATTGCCAGCCACATCTCCAGCTCTGTCAGGATTGGGCCCTGGCCTGCCCCCTTTGTTATGTCAGTTCCTCTAGGGGTCACCAGGTGTTGCTGGTCATCCCAGTGTCTTTGGCTTCTAGTGTGTTCTCTTGTTCCCCTGGCCACGACATGGCTTAATGAGCTGAGTGGTCCCCAGTGACCAGGGCAACACTTACAAAACCGAGACACAAGACAGACCAGAGCAGGGTATCAAACCAAAGGGGAACTAGGACGGACAGGTGGAACGTGAGGATTTAGGACAGGGCAACAAGACATGAACTTAGGTGCTTGGGGCACACAATAGGAGGAACAATGGGAACCAGGAAGTAAGGAAGCAAACAGAGGGCCACAAATTTGGAAAGGTGCAAGACCAGACTGGATAATAAATAATTCCACCAATGAAAACTACAACCAGCATCGTTTTAACCATGAGAGTGAAAATGCTTAGATATATTGTCTAAATGTCAGTGTAAGTATGCTGTTGAGCTCCAACTTTCTCATTGTCAATGACTGATCATTTTTCATTAGCAAACCGATACTTATTCATGTCAAAAACACCAGTTTCAACATTGCAAGGCTCTACATCATAGTATGTAAAGTTCACTGGCAAGAGAAAGCATGTATATGTAACTTCTTCGAATCTCAAAACACAGTATGATAGCAAACATCACACAAAAAGTCACACAGCAATGTATAACTTAAAAACACCAAAATCACAATACAAAACAACAAAATGATGACAAAGTCATGTACTGTGGGCAGGGGCACTGCTAGAGATTTTGGATCCCATGAAAGTCTATCACACTGCCCCTTCATGAAATTGGCTTCCATAACCAAGCAGCTACACGCAAGACTCACATCACCAAGCGCAATAGCAAACATCAAATGGAGAGATGTAAAGCATGTCAGCATTGGGCTCTGGAGCAGTGGAAACATGTTCGGTGGAGTGAGGAATCACTCTTCTGTCTAGTAGTCTGATGGATGAGTCTGGGTTTGGCAGATAATAGTATGGGGTTGTTTTTCAGGGGTTGGGCTGGGCCCCTTAGTTCCAGTGAAGGGAACTCTTAATGCTTTAGCATACAAAGACATTTTGGACAATTCTATGCTTCCAACTTTGTGGGAACAGTTTTAGGAAGACCCTCTTCTGTTCCAGCATGACTGTGCCCCAGTGCATAAAGCAAGGTACTTTAAAATATGACTGGGTGAGTTTGGTGTGGAAGAACTTGACTGGCCCACACAGAGTTCTGATCTCAACCCCATCAAACACCTTTGGGAGGAACTTGAACAGAGATGATTTTGACAGCCTTTTGTGCCTTTGTGCTCAGACCTAAAATGTTCATGAAATCTTCCAGTGAGAAATTTTAATTTTCTTATCTTACACACTAACCTTTTTAAGCTACGAACAGTCATCATGAAACTTAATTTCAGTCTCTAAAAGGCCATGACTTCTTTTATTTACTCCCTCTTGTGAGATGCATTTTTTTCTAGCAAAGAATTGTTTCCTCATGACTTTGTCACTATCACAACAAATGTTTTCCTGAGATATTGACGTTTCAGGAAAACTCTTTTATGTCTATCCTCGATAATGTGCACATATTGTGATTATATTGCGATGTGATATTGTGCAGCCCTCTCTCACTACATCTTAAAAGGCAATAATCCCAAAGGCACACCACTTAGGAGGGAACCTACATGATTTTAACATTGCCACAAATTGATTAGATATTGATGTAGATAATATGTTTTGTAATATTTCGAGACATAGGGCCAAGATCAAGACAAAATGGGCTCAAGACCGAGATGGTGCTGAAATCAGGCCAAGCAGTTTCAAGAACAAGACCAGATCTCAAGAACTATAACTCTGATTAACACTATTGCACATAAAAGCAGCAATAGCACTGCTGTTGTCCCTAATGTACATTCGAGAGAGTAGATGATGGTGTATGCACTGCAGTAAACTTAGCTTCATGATCGGTATACAGTTTTCCGGCTTTAAAATATTTGAACCAAAGCAAACTAGGCAGTTTCATTATGCAGTGTTTTGTTTTGCCCCGAATCCTGTTCCTGTGTCCTTAGTCGCACATACCTGTATCGCAACAGAATGTCAGAACTCTGCAAGCCACTGATTCATCTCTCAAGAGATCCTCCGACTCTCTACGTCATGGCATGCTCCCTCTCCCTAGTCACCAATCTCAGACCTCTGTCCCATCATCCGGTCCACATGCCAGCAAACCTTTTTGGATGGGGTTGTTGTCATTGTGAATGTCATTGATGCTGTCATTGACATTGTCCATGTTGAGGCCATTGTGGATGTGGTTCTCGTTATTGTGGGTATCGTTGATGCTGTTGTTGATATTGTCATTGGTGCAGCAGTTGTTGGTTCGACAGTGGTGGTTATTGATGTTGTTACTGCCTGGATGCAGGTGTCAATGTTGACGCTGTTGTGGATGGGGCCATTGTGGATGATGTGGCTGTTGTCATTGTGCATGTCTTTGATGCTGTCATTGACGTTGTCGATGTTGGGGGAATTGTGGATGTCCTTCTTGTTGTGGGTGTGGGCTTATTGATGTCATTGAAATTGTTGTGCTTTGTGCCCGGTGGTCCCTGGTCTTGCCTGTGTCTGCTTCATGTCCTAGGTAGCATTCTGTCTTGTCCCGTCTTGTTCCCTGCATGTCTTGTCATCCCGTCTGTTGTCTGCCCAGTTTTTCTGCCCCTGCGGTCCCCTTCTCTACCAATCCTTCATGCCTCGATGGCATCCTTGAGGGGTACTGTCACGCCCCACCCAACCAATCCTTCCGTTTCCTTCCCCAGTGTGGCCCTAATGAGCCACGCCTGTTTACTATTAGATTTACCTCTCATTCTTGCCCTTCTGTGATTCACTCCAGCTGCATCTCATTGTTCTTCCTTGTCCTTGTTATGTGTACTTTGTACTCCTGTGCTTTCTCGGGACCCAAGCTTTTTTATGATGGACTGAGCCAAAGTGGAAAACTGTCCAGTGGTCTGATAAATTAAATTTATTATTTTTTTTTGTAAATCATGGACGCTGCATCATCTGGGCTGAAAAGGAGACAGACCATCCCAGCTCGTTATCAGCACACAGTTTAAAAGCCAGCATTCATGATAGTATAGGGGTGGATTAATGTAAATGGAATGAGTGGCTTGCACATCAGGAATGATACCATTAGTGCTGAACAATAAATACAGGTTTTGGAGCAACGTATGCTGCCATGCGGATGATGTTCTTCAGAGAAGGCCTTCAGCAAGACAAAGCCAAACTGCATTTTGCACATATTACAACAGCGTGTTTCTATAGTAAAAGAGACTGGGCGATAAACTGGTTTCCCAGCATTCTAGACCTGTCACCCACTGAAAATATTTAGAGCATTAAAAAATGGAAAACCTCAAGAAAGGACACCCCAAATTGTTGAGAAGCTGGAATCCTACATCAAGCAAGAATGGGGTAACTTTTCAGTCTCAAAACTACAGAAATTGGTCTCCTCAGTTTCCAAACACTTATGGAGTGTTGTTAAAATAAGTGGTCCACACAACACAGTGGTAATCATGCCCCTATCTCACTTTTTAAACATGTGTTGCAGACATCAAATTCAAAATGAGCATATTTTTTTCAAAAATCAATAACATTTTTCAGTTTCAACATTTTCTGTTGTCTTTGAACTTTTGTCAATTAAATATAGATTATAAATAATTTGCGTTCTCTTTTCATTTATATTTTACACAGCATGTCAGGGTCGGAGCCCATTCGACCCTGCCTTTCATGTCTCCACCCTGTTTGGCCAGCAGGTGGTGCTGGCCATCCTGTCGTCCTCCATGTCATTTGCTTTGCAGCTCCCCAGACCGCCACATAGCTGAGTGGGCTGCGTGTGCGGTTCAGATTGAGGAGTTGTGGGTTCAAAGCTGGCTAGGAACAAGCCTCATTGGTTTTGTTTGGGGTTTTTTTTTTTTGGTTTTTGGTCTTCCCTAGTATTACTGGTTATCAGTGCTTTCCTGGTTTCGGTGGTTTTGTATTTCAATTGGTTCTTTTTCTTTTGCTCCTTGTTTTAGTTAAAACTTAGTGTTTGTTATTTTTTCTTAGTCTCCAGTTTTGTTTGACTGTAATATGCCACACCGATTACTTGTTTGCCTTGAGTCCTTGTGATTGGTTAATTGATTATGTTTCTCACCTGTCCTGAATTGTGTTTTGTTAGCTGTGTATTTAAGTGCTTGTTTTTGTTCTGTTCTTTGATGATTAATTGTAGTTGTATGTCTGCTCAGAGTGGTTGTTATGCTATGCTGCCTACTCCTGCTCCCTGTGTTCTTTCAATGTTCAAGTAGTGGCATCTTATTCACTGTCCTGTTGAAGTCCCTCAGCTACTGGAGATCGATGTCTTGCTTTTCCAAGGATTCCTCCTTGGTCTTCTTGGCAGACTGAATCTCAGCTGGAAAACTTTGAACTGAATTTAAAAGATAACCTCATATAATGGACAAAAAACACCCTTTCAAAAGCCATTCTGTCGTTTGGGTCCCGGAAACACTGTGCACCGTGTCCTATCCACAGGAAAGTGTATAAATATTTACTAAAGACATCTAAGGACACAGACACTGTATGAACTGAGCAAATGGGAAGATTAAATCTTAGTGCTTGTTGTGGAATGTGGATCACTATTCTGTAACTGTAACCGGAAGGTTGTTGGTTCAAATCCATTGGCTGACAGAGGATTGTATCACTGCAAGACCCTTGCAATTGCTCCCAGCAGATAAATAGCTAACCCTGAGGTCTGAACCCAATCTTCGCTCTCACCAGTGTCTGTGTGTCTCAGATGGGATTTACGGAAAAAATGTTCAGTGTACCAGTAAATATCTCCATTTGAGGTTACCAAAGATATTACATGTTTGCTGTGCTCTACACCTGTGGTGTTGTTCTTTTGTGTCAGTACACTGTGAAGTAGTCTTTCCTCATTTTTTATAGGATCAAATTATAATTTGAATTCACATATTGGCCAAGATGCAAAAGATTATTGTTGACAGAGGTGAGGCAGGGCGTAACCTTTTTATTGCTGAATGACTTATTTGAGGGAGACTCTAACCAAAGATTTTGTCATTAGTTACATAATATTATCACGGCAGTGTCGAATTGTTGAACCTGAATTTCAACTAATAATTTTAAATTTAGTAAAGATTAAAAACAGAAACTACACAGAAAGGTTTAATCATTGGTGGAAGAAAGTAGTTTTACTAATACATGGCTTTGCTATGACGAAGTTTTAGGGCCACTATTAATAAAAATATAAAACCTCGAGAATAACGTTGGAACTTTCAAGATTAAAGTTGTAACTTGTCAGAATAAAGTCATAGTAATTCGAGAATGAAGTCAAAATAAAGTCAAAGTTACGAGAAAAGTCATACTTTTCAAGAATAAAGTCGTAATTTGCTAAAATAAAGTCACAGTAATTTGAGAATAAAGTGATAAAATTACGAGAAAAAAGCCTGCAATGTTTCAAGAATAAAGTCATTCAAAACTATGCGAAAAGGTTCAGAATTGTTCAGGACTTTATGTGGTAAAACGAGGGACATTGAGGATATAGTAAAACTTTACATTAGAATACGGTTCAAAAACAAAGAGATCTTACTCTTCTGGCACATCAGCATCAAATCATTATTAGTATTTGGACATTGAAATGATTGTGTCACAAATTGCATCTGTTAAGAAGAATGAAAAATACGGACTTGAATGAACTTGCCGCTTTTGTTGAACGTGAGATAACTAGCAGCGGGAGTCTACAAGGCTATCGATGGCTACATCTGCCTGCTGTTCAAAGAGGGTATGTTGTGTCACAGCAGACAATGCATATGATCATCAAAATGATTGATGTTGGTGTTTTTTTTCACCAGCACTCCTTCACACCTCTATTTTTAAATACCTCTGCTTTGCTGTAAGCCTTTTTGGGTGGAAGTGTCCCCTCCATACCTTTATATGCACCACAGGTGTCAGACTCCAGTCCTGGAAGGTCAGAGCCCTGCACATTTTTGGGTTTCCCCTCATTTAACACACCTGATTCAACTCCTTGTGCTAATTATCACACAGCTCTTGAGCTGGATCATTTGCGGTGGAACAGGGAACGAACTAAGCTACACAGGGCTCCGACCCCCCAGGACTGCAGTTTGACACCCCTGCCTTAGCTGATTTGTGACAAAAGGCCTGTTGAACAGCATTGTTTGTAGTACAGACTTCTTTGTAGATTCACCCCCCTTGAGGCCAGTGGTAGTAATGGGAAGAATATCCCAGTTTGGCCACTATTATGTTTCCTGTAAATATGTTGTGTTGACACATTATCACTATATATGTAATTATATTTACTGTTAAACAATGTGTATATACTGAAATCTATATGAATCTTTTCATTTCAGAAAAAGACAATAATAATAAGGCAGGCAGCACTAAGTGCTTCACATAACAAATTTAACAATAAGCAGAACCAACAGAAAAATACAATAAATAAAACATTCAAATAAAAGGACAAATTGGGAAGTATAAGGAAAATAAAATGAATGAAATCAATCTATAAACAAATTAAGAAAGAAATAATGAATCAAATACATTTGCAAAGGCTGATCAATGAAAGTATGTTTCTAAATGAGACAAAAATGGCTACTGAGTCAGTTGATCTAATGCTTGGAGGTAAAGCTGTTTCAACGTCTTGAAGCCATCAAAGAAAATGCTTTATGGGTAATAGCAATTCAGATACACAGTCCAGAGCTAAACCATGCAAAGTCTTAAAAGTGATCAACAAACCTTTTAATAAGGCCTCAGTTGACCTGGAAGCTAGTGAATGATGACAAAATTGGAGTAATATGCTCACAGACCTTTGATCTTGTCTGAAGTCTGGCTTCAGCATTCCATACCAACTGGAGACAAGCAATGGAAGAGTCGTTCATGTAGCAAATGAGGTATTACAATGGTCCAGGTCAGATACAGTATAACAAAAGCATGTATGACCTGTTCAGTACCTTCAAAAGATGCTCTAACGTTTGCAATATCTCTCAGTTTATAAAAGTCAAATTGTACCAATTTATTTACATGAGTTTGAACATTTAAACTGGAATCAGAGCACCCCTAAGTTCATAGACACTGGACTACACATGTAGTCACACATAGAGGGCCATATTAAGCCCATGTGGCAACTCTAGACGGAGGGGTTGTCACCTTAAGATGGCACCTTAAGTGGCTGCTTATGTCACTTATTGCACACAGCTGTATAACAGAAGCTGATGAGAGTCATCTCACCACAGATGCCTGAGATCCAGTTGATAGATACTTAACAGGCCTAGTGAGATGAATAATTACACCTGTCCCTCATTTTATATGAACCTGTTGGTTTTGGTTTCATTTCATGCTAAAAATTTCCTTTTGCATTTCCATAATGTGTATAGTCAGTCCAGTTCCTACAGCACAGTTTCCTTCAATTAAGATTCTATTCTTAGCCTCACCCCAGTTTACGTCGTCCTGTATGACAACCCAACCAGAGATGGTTTCACAGGGTACATGGTATTTTGGTAAATAATATTATTGCAGGAGGGTTGTTGGGCAAAAACTGGTTGTATGTCTTTCAAAGTAAATCTGGCAGAACCACCAAAACTTCGTTGAAGACTCAACTGTACCTGTAATGAACATAAAGAATTTTCAGAATATTAAAGTCATTGTTTACAACAATACGATGAAACATCCATAAATCCATTTTCATTAACTGCCTACTGGAGTCACTGAGTATGGAAACTATCCAAGGAAACAGAGGGTATATAGGGTAGGGGATGCCAGTGCATAAATGGGCACAGACTCATACACAGGCGCTATGGGGAGAACATGCAAACTCCAGAGGGTGGGTCCAGAGGGGAAAGTGAAGCTACATCCCTGGATGTGTGAGACTAAATTACTACTCACTTTCTCAACCACAACTAACATTTAACAGTATGATTATTTACAAAATAATGTCCATGCTATTGGTATCTTCCTAAAATTAAGAAGATTAAGAAACAATTAAACTATGCAACAATGTTATAAAATTATTGTAAGTATATAGGCGTATTATTCAAAAGAGTGAAGTGTAAGAGTTAATGAAATTAAGACAAAAAACTTAACAGTATAATGAAAAGTTCCTATCCCAAACCCACTTATGAATTACAGAAAAATCAGTGTACCTGCTGTAAGAAGTCTTGAACTGCATTTTTATTAAGAAACACTGCAGATCGAAAGATAGCTTGGAGTTTTGCAGAGGTGGAGCTATATTTTGTGGGCTTTGAGGACATAATTGAGGGTGTTGTTGAGTTTGGTCCTGTGCTTGGGTTTAAGCTGGTGGTTGTTAGTGCAGGCGTTGTCATTTTAGTTGGTACTGTGGTTGAAGGTAAAGGGCTTGTTGGTTGTGGCACAGATGTTGGACTCGTTGAAGGTAAAGTAGAAGTTGTTAAAGTTGTTGCTGTAATGGGGACTGTGGTTGGAGTTGATGTGGTTGTTGTTTGCACCAGACTTGATGTTGTGATTCGTACCATGGTTGGAGGTAAAGTGGTTGTTCTTTGAATGGGAGTTGGTGTGGTGAGAGGTACGGTGGTTGGAGGTACAGTGGAAGGGGACTGGACTGGAGTTGTTGATTTCATTGCCTCTGTGGATGGAGGTACAGTGGGAGGTGTCTCGCCTGGAGTTGTGACCGGCACTGTGGATGAAGGTGAAATGACAGGTGTCTGACCTGCAGTTATTGATGTGATTCCTTCTGTGGATGTAGGTGCAGTGGCAGATGTCTCGCCTGGAATTGTAACTGGCTCTGAGAATGAAGGTGAAGTGGCAGGTGACTGGCCTGGAGTTGTTGATGTGATTGCCTCTGTGGATGGAGGTACAGTGGCAGGTGTCTGGCCTGGAGTTGTTGGGATTGGCATTGTGGTTGGATTTGAACTGGTTGTGGTTTGTACTGGAGTTGGTGTTGTAATTGGTACAGTGGTTGAAGGTAAATTGGTTGTTTGTACTGGAGTTGTGATTGGCATCGTGGTTGGAGTTGAACTGGTTGTGGTTTGTACTGCAGTTGTGATTGGCATCGTGGTTGTAGTTGAAGTGGTTGTGGTTTGTACTGCAGTTGTGATTGGCATCGTGGTTGGAGTTGAACTGGTTGTGGTTTGTACTGCAGTTGTGATTGGCATCGTGGTTGTAGTTGAAGTGGTTGTTGTTTGTACTGCAGTTGTGATTGGTACTGTGGTTGAAGGCAAAGTGGTGGTTTGTACTGGAGTTGTGATTGGCGTCGTGGTCGAAGTGGTTGTGGTTTGTGCTGGAGTTGGTGTCGTTATTGGCACTGTGACTGAAGGTGAAGTGGTTGTTTGTACTGGAGTTGTGATTGGCGTCGTGGTCGAAGTGGTTGTGGTTTGTGCTGGAGTTGGTGTCGTTATTGGCACTGTGGTTGAAGG